GCCAGGCCCATCGGGATTATGCGGGAGTGGTTGGGGGGGAGGGGCAGGGGGAGGTCGTGGCAACTGTTGGGGGGGTTGGAAATCGTTCAGCGGATCAGTGAGAAGGATGAAGTTAGGTTGCAGGTAGGGCACACAAAACTTTTCTCTGGGGCACCTTTGCCAGGTCTGTTCAGCACTCCTCCATGGTTTCCATTGAATAGCCAATTCAGCGTTTATGTCTTTGAACAGCCTATAGGGGTCCTGCCATATTTCTCTGTAGGAGTGCAGAATGTCCTGCTTGGCCTGGGGTTCATTTTCTTTCTTATAGTCAGTTCTCATCACCTTCCATGCTTCTTGGGTCGCCGCCCTAATGACGTCTTCCACCGCTTGCTGGGCCTGTTGCAATCCAAACTGATGGTCTCTCCTCTYAAAAGAGCATCTTGCTYGCCAGGCGAGCATGAGGATGTGCAGTCGTGTGTAGGTGAATAGGTTAACTGCATATGGGGACCAGCTTGCCAGCAAGTGCTGGTTTTTACCGAGGAGAAGGAGGCCCAAGTCCCATGGAATATGGAGCGATGTTAAGGAGTGGAAGGCTGCRTCCCACCAGCGCCACAGCTGTACTACCATAGGACATGCCAACAGGCAGTGTTCCAGTGTCGCAYKGGCAGGTTGTGACRCCCTCCCACAGTAAGAACAGATGGGGGACARTTGTCCTTTTTGTTCCAGGTCGGTTCTGGACACCAGCCAGTCCGGCGTTGGAASRCACCGGTGAAGTATCTGCCATTGTAATGACCGGAGGTTCGCAGGCATAATCTTTGCGTATTTGGGCCATGGCAGGTCGTCCAGCTGGTCCGGGTCCAGAGGAGAGTCCCGGGCCCATCTTTCAGCCAGTGTGTGGTTGATTGGCTGCTCCAGGSGCATGGCTCGATATCCCTTTTTGAYTGTGTAGTCCCACAGGCCCATCGGTTTTTGGTTTGGCCATTCCCACTCCAATGGATCGAAGGGCAGTCCTGCAATTGGTATCGAGGGTTCGTAGGCATAGTGCCCTTGTTTATGGTCCCCTACCACCCTTATGTGCATAAGGTCGACCGACAACTCCTCTTTGTCCAAGTCTGCATTGCGTGTCAGCTTGGACATCCTCGCTCCAGGTAGGGCCGGCTCATGGGCTTCTAGTGTGCACACACCGCGCTCATTTGTGTGCACCCTGTACACCACCAGCGGGAGGGGCAGGTTTGTGTACTTGATAACCCAGTCCCCCTGCCGGATCGCGGGGCCTTTTTTGAGGGTTATGTGCCAGGCCAGCGGTATGGCCTCCCGGAGCAGGTCCAACCTTCCTTCTATGTTCTGAGCATGCGACTGTTGGTGTCGCAACTTGGCTGGAGTTTTCCATCCCCCTCCCTCAATATCCCAGAAGTCACCTATCGTGAAAAGACCTCTTTTAACCCATGTGAGCCAGGGAGAGTTTGTGTGTAGCGAGAAGGGGTTCCCTGCTTCATCCAAGATGTGGGGGTTACCAAATAGGGGYTGACGCCAAATATCATGCCATCGGTTAGGTGGTAGGATCTGCTTTGGTCCACACCGTCTCCACAGTTTGAGCATGTTGGGCCATAGCGGGTCATGTGATATGTCCGCTTTGGCTGCTTGAGCCGGGTCATCCCTTGGTGGTTGCTGTTTCGGGGACGGTATGGACCAGTGGGCATTGGTCAACCATCGGAAAGGATGCACTTGGTTGGGGGCTGCAGTGGCCGGGGCCAGATTGCTGATCTGCAGGCAGGCCAGCGGCGCCCATGGGATGTCGTCGCCTGTCATCAGTCTGACGAGTACCTTAAAAATCAGGGCGTCGCTTTCTTTTTGCGGATCTAGAATCCCAGTCCCCCTTTACTCCTTGGCTGTGTCAGCACATCCCATTTAACCCGGTTGATGCACGCTTTGGCTGTGGTGTCATTTTTCCAAAGGTAGATTGTTAGTGCTTTTCTGAGCCTGGTATGTTGTTTCGGTTTGAGGGGCCACACTGCTAGTTTATACCAAATTGTTGCCAACACAGCATTGTTGATTGCGAGTGCCCTGCCCACCAAGGAGGTGTGCAGGCCCTCCCAGCGGCCCAGGCGGTCTATCGCCAGGTCCACCAACACATCGCCATGATCTGGGGGGGGGGCGAGTGCTGTTAGTCTCACTCCCAATATGCGCAGGGCTGTCTCTTTCGCCGCCCATGCGATTTGTGGCTCTTGTGGGGGGTCGACCCCCTGCGGGTGTAGCCACCACCCTTCTGTTGTAGAACCCCAATTGACTTTCATGTCTGCTGCTAATGAAAACAGCTGGATGCCTTGTGTCAGAGCATGGAGGCTTTGATCGTCCGCTTTAATAAGCACCGTGAGGTCGTCTGCAAACAACGATGTAATCGGGATGAGGTGTTCCGACAACTCCGGGATGGGGATTCTATGAATCTGAGGGTGGGCTCTAATAAGTGCAGCCAAGGATTCCATAACTATAACAAAAAGCAGGGGCGCGATGGGGTCACCTTGTCTGACCGACCTCTGAAGTCTGATCGGAGCCGCCAAATGGCCATTTAACGTGATGTTTGTAGACGCTGACTTGTGCAAGAGCTACACCCACTTTGTGAACACCGGGCCAAAATTCATCCTAATCAGGCACATGTCCAAAAATTCCCAGTCAACGTGGTCGTAGGCCTTCTCAAAGTCTATAAAGATAACAGCTGCCTGGACCTTTCGTTGACGGGCGTACTTAATGGTCTCATTGACCAAAAGGATATTATCTTGGATGTTGCGATTGGGCATGAAACCAGACTGATCGGGATGAATCAAGAGGTTCATAAGCGGTAACAGTCTCCTAGTAAGAGTCTTAGCCAGCAGTTTGTAGGGGACAGGAAGGAGAGTTATGGGTCTGTAATTTCTGATCTCCTCTTTGTCCCCTTTTTTATATAGAAGGGTAGTGACCCCTTGTCCCATTATTTCCCCAAATGAGCCTTCCCTTTGCACCGCTCCAATGTATTCCAACAAGTCCTCCCATAGCAGGTCCCAGAACTGCACCCAGAACTCTTTGGGGAAGGAGTCTAGCCCTGGTGTTTTCTCGTCTTCCATGTCCTGCAGGGCTTCCCAAACTTCCTGTCGGGTTATAGGGCTGTCTAGTCCTGCTCTTTGGGGGGGGGTGAGTTGGGTTAGAATCGCTTGCAATAGCTGTTCCCTCGCCTGGTGGACCTGGTTAGAGGGTTTGAGGGGCGTCTCTGCCGTGAACAACTTTTGATAGTACTTGGAGGCATAGTCCACTATGGTGTATGCATTGGAGGCGATCGGGGCGTTAGGTTCGAACGGGTGCTTAAGTCTAGGGACTGTATTTGCCCTCGCCCTTGCTTTGGCTTTGCTAAAGAAGGTTTTGGCCATTGTTCCTTCTGTGTGGTTCCTTTTGATTTTCGCCTGAATTCTCCATGCTTGCGTTTGTTTGTCGATGTAGTCTTCGAGGTGGTCCCTCGCGTTTTGCAGTTCCTGAAAGGTAGGTCGGTTCAGGGGGTCCTCCATAAGTCGTTCATCCCAGTCCTCGAGTTGGCTGATGAGCTTCTCGAGGACAGCCTTACGATCTCTCGCGTGTTGGATGGAGAATTTCTTGGCGCGTTCTCGGAGTTGTGCCACACCGTTATTGAACCACTCAACCCTGTCCCCTGATTGCGGTTTCCACGAYCRCCAATAATGCCAGAACGTGTTAACCATGTCTTTGAAGGTAGTGAGGGGGAGCAGGGATGTGTTGAACTTGTAGAACCCTGGGCCTCTCTTTATGTGGCYGTGAAGGGACAACCCTAGAGTGATCATTCTGTGATCAAAAGACTTACAGGGGCTTATAGGTGTGATGTCTGCGGCAATGAGAAGGCCCGTAAGGTCTTTTGAAATCAGCGTGAGATCTATMCTGGAGTTAGCTACGCCYTGCTGGCCCCTTGCCGATAAGCATGTGTATGCCCTTTGGGCCGGGTGCAGCAGCCTGTACGCGTCTTCCAGCTGCCTGTCCGCCATGAGTTGCTGAAGCATAACGGCATCAGG